TGCTGAACAGTGGTGGATCCTGGCCCCAGAGGGAAACCTCAAGAGATTTATTTCTTTCAGTGGAAATAAAAGCCTAGTTGATCCCATACTATGGAGGAAAGCGCCTTCCTGAGTGAAGAGTGTAAAGAATACACCCTAAATTCAAAGGCTGGCAGTGGAGGAGATATTCCACGTAGGGGCAGCGGGGGGAGTACACAATGCCAGCTCTTGACTTTAAGATTGACTTTCCCCTTGGAGATCTCCCCATTTCCACTGTCTCTCCCACATGTAGGAACCCTAGCAGCTTCCTTAAGTAAAACAGTAGCCAGATCCCCAAGTGGAGACTTCCTGTGTATCCAGCCGTGGAGAATCAGGCTGTTATTTTATGAAGCAGCAGCAGGTTTCCTTATAGAGAGAGAGCTAAAAGTCTGAGTCTATACTGGTAGGTCTGAGATTCGCATTGATTCCTGGTATCTGTGCTGTACAGATTAGTCTCAGAGCAGGTGCTGTGGGTTTATTTAACAAACACTCTTCTAATTGTTTTGTAAATATCAATCCATTCAGTTCTCACAATGGCCCTGGGAATTGTGAGTTGGTGCCATTATGACCTCCATTTTGCAGATGAGCAAACCAAAGCCCAGAGAAGTCAAGTCACCCGAGGTGACTCACCTGGGCTCACAACATTGGTCCTGCCATCTTGGAAATGTGTGGCTTAGGAGAGACCAAGCAGACATTTAGACATCTGTGAGTGCTTTAGAAATGCCATGTTGGGACTTCCCTGGTAGTCCAGTGGCTAAGACTCTGCCTTCCCAATGCAGGGGACCCGTGTTCCATCCCTGGTCAGGGAACTAGATCCCACGTGCCACAGCTAAGAGTTTACATGCTGCCACGAAGACCCAGCGCAGCCAAATAAATAAATATTTTTTTTAAAAAAAGAAGAAAAAAGAAACACCAAGGTCCCTATAAGTTAAGGTGAGGGAGGGAGCAGCATTGCAATGTCAAGAATGTGAATGCCCTTTGTACTGTCTAGTGGGCTCCATCTTAAAGTCTTTCCTCGCTGAAGCCAAAGTGAGAGTTTTCTATGCAGGGTAGAATGTGCCAACGATCATGTCCTGCTCCAAACAAGTGCCTAGAACATGCCACTGCTCTGATGGGTGTTCAGTGGCCCCTTATGATTAATAAATAGTCTGAGCATTCCTTGTGAGCAAAGCATTGTGAAGGCTGAAAAATTAATAAAGGGATCAGCTAGCAGGATAAGTACAAGGGAGCAGGCCTAGGTCTGGGCCCATGCTACCTTGTGGAGGAGCAGCACAAGGCTCCTCTTTAGCCAGAGTTCGATCGGGAGGCACAGTGAATCTATGTCATTGTGATCCTCCTAGGACTCCTTTGCACCTTCATAATGGTTTTTTCCTAACAAGAGGTAGTCTTTGTTGAAAACCGAAGGGTTTCCCGGGTGGATGCCTCATGTGACAAAGAGTCATAAGACCGAGTTATAATCCCAGATCCACTCTTGACTCCATGGATGACACAGGGTAACTAATCAGTTCCTCTTTGTCTAAGTGAAATGCACAGCCTGTGTATATTTGCACAGCACCTCAAGGCTGCCAATTCCCTGCCAGTGAACTTTACCAAAAATTTCTGTTAGAAGAGCTTCTTTATAAGGTATAAGGCCACTGGTGCCTCTGGCTGGGTTACAGAAGGTTGGCACAGACTGAAGCGTGATGTACTGAGAGCTTGGGTCTGAGCTCAGAGAACTTTGACTAATCACCTGTCTCAACGGAGGGCCAAAATCTGTTATGCTTATGCCAGCAAATCTCCCAGGAAAATTGCTGAGAGGTCATCTCATGTATATTCATAGTGGCAGAGAGAGAAGGCATGGCTTTGAGAAGGGGAAACTCAGGAACTGGTGAGCATGACTTAAAACATGTTGGAAGCACACAAGGCCAGGGAAACATGTTCCTGCCCAGTTTGGGGCTGTGGCGTACCCCTTGCCCTCAGGACTCAGCCCCAGGGATGGAGCGAGCACAAGGTCTCTGAAGCCACTGGGAACAGAGGAACCAAGACGTTGCCTCTGGCTGGAGTTGGAGTAGGGGAAGCAGGTAAGTTACAAGGTTATGCTGAAGCTTCTGGTGCTTACCGTCCGTAACAAGAAGCTTCCTGTTTCTCTCCCCACTCCCCCAATTCCATGCTTCCAGCTTGAACCGAAAAGTTCAGGGAGGTCAGAAAAAGATCTTTCTGGAGTCTCTTTGCCCCAGTGCCAAAGTGTCAGCAAGACGCTGGTGGGGGCTTCCCTGGTGGCGCAGTGGTTGAGAGTCCGCCTGCCGATGCAGGGGACGCGGGTTCGTGCCTCGGTCTGGGAGGATCCCGCGTGCCGCGGAGCGGCTGGGCCCGTGAGCCATGGCCGCTGAGCCTGCGCGTCCGGAGCCTGTGTTCCGCGACGGGAGTGGCCACGGCAGTGAGAGGCCCGCGTACCACACACACGCAAAAGAAGACGCTGCTGGGGTCACGCCTCTGCTACTTAACCTCATCCTTACTTCTCTTACCCTCCCCCATTTCTCCTCCACTCCCCATTTCTCTGTCATTCTCATTAATTTTTCTACTTAGAAAGACACATCCGGTTCTCTCCATCTCTCACCCTGCAAGGTATTTTTAACAGTCTTCGCTGCCATCTGCATTCAGGGTTAAATGGGTTCCTCCTCCCCCGCTGCCTTGTTTCACTTTCTTGTGAAGGGGACAGTCCCGAAGGTTCTGTCCTGTTTCTCCTCTCTCCCGCTCTCATTTTCCTTCCAAGGGAGCTCCCGGGTTGGAAAGCACTTACTATCAAAGGAAATTAGCATCCTTTCTCTTTTCATTTCGGTGCATGTTTCCAATTGGATTTGGCTCTCAAGGCCCACAGGGTAGACACCTACCAAGAGAAAACGGCCCAAAGGTCCTTCTGAGGAGAGCATGCAGCAGCAACATTCCCTACAAAAAGAAAAATGAGTAAGAACGTCAGGGAAAAAAAAAAAACCCAGCCCCGCTGTGCAAAAAAGGGCAGTGGTCAGCATGCCTGCCCTTTTCTGTTTTCCCGCCTTCTTCCTTTGTGCAGGATTAACTGCAAAGATGGCCCCATGACCTGGGCATGGGCCCTGCTATGAGAGGATTAGCCTGGCTGGTGGCCCCTAAGCCTTTGGCGGCTTGTCCCATGAAATCCACATCCTAAAGGTGGAGCCCGTTGGTGAATAAACCCCAGACAGACAGACCTTTTCCCCTAACCGTCGCTTGCTAATTTTGTTCCATTTAAGCCTGCCCTCTGCTTGGAAACTTTCACTCACCAGCCCCAGTTTTGCCTGAGTCAGTACAGTCCGGGGCCACCATCTGCAGTGAGCTCCCAACTCCTCCCTCTGGCCGTCCGCAGGAATCCAAGCCCCAGCACCCACAGGCTGCTCTGAGACCTAGTCACCGACTGCAGGCAGAAACCAGAAACCCCTGTGGACAAAAGGGCAGGACTCAGGGCCATCTGAGCAAACAGGGAGAAGCCACTTCATTCCCCGCGGTGGGCAAGAGGATCGTGCTGCTGCCTTTCACTTGAGTCATCAGCCAAGTGGCTGAACCTTAGGGCTTTAGAAGCATATGCATGCAAACTTGAATATTCTTTTTTCCCTTTCTGAGATCTAAAGTATATGTATTCCTGAAGCCCACCTGTGTATGATACACAGCTTATTCATGAGCCCTTGCACAAGCCTAGCATCCCACCCCATCCCGGAGGCCCAAATAAAACCAGAATCAGGAGTCTAGGTCCTTTTAAGAACTGGTTATTTCCAGATGGATATCTTGAAAAACATGCTTCAGAAAGTGCGAAAACCACTAGGAAGACTTGAGAGAACATTTCTTAGGCTGAAAAACCCACACAGAAACCTATACTGATAATTTGATGTGTATGTTCAGCACAACAAATCTCATTTACCATGCCTCATTGAAATTTCCAGATTCTAAAACATACTCCTCTAAAGTTCCAAAAGTTCCTCTTTAGAAAGATTTCTGATTAAGAACATTCTAAGTCATGTGCCACGCTTCCTTGTCTTCTTAAACAAAATTAATGCTAAGGTGAGTCAACTTTTTCTCAGTGACTCAGGCTTCTAATTCTAAACTTGACTTTTTGTGACAGAGGCTGGGTAATGCCATGTTTGGATCAGATGGATTTAGATATGAGTTTTTGTAGACCCTTTAAACTTCCCAGGCCTCAGTGTCGTCATCTGCAAAACTTTGACAATGGTAACAACTTTGCAAGATTTCAGTCTCTTGTTTATGTCGATACACAATAAATTCGCAACTGGGTTAGCATCTTTGTACATTGCGGGAATGTGTGACTTTTTTCTGTCAATACTCTTGCTGTCATCCTCTGTTATGAGTATACCCCTCTGACCTCTTTTTACCCTTTTATTGTGGGTATGGATTTTGCTTCAGGAGGTTTCGGTGTCTGTTGGGAAGTATTTAGTCCTGGGGTCTAAGCTATTGTCCCAGGCCAGTGCAGTCCCAGGGCCAGCATGTCTGGTTTGCTTTAGTCAGCCACGCTCATAGCAGAGCGCGTACTAGGGTGGTCTCCCGGGGACAGAGTGTAACAGCGTCAGTGCATGGAGTCCTCGGCATTAGTTGAGCTGCTCACCATCTTTTCTTCTGAAACTATCCCCCCACCCCGCCCCACCCACATTCTGGATATTTGAGGTTTGGGGGGATATTTGGCCTCTAGCTAAGTGTGCTGGATAAACAGAGTACCCTTGTGTTCATTTACGGCCAGTGGAGCTCTCTAAATCTTAGAAGATATGTGTCCTTCTCCCAAAGTAGGGGATGCTATCTTAGGAAGGGGGCACTTTCGCAGGTTAAGCTGACTACAGGAAACAGAGGGAACATACCAGATCTCAGTAA